CCGAGCGGTGTTCAGTTGTTGGACTTCTGTGCCAGTCACGGCCTGTCCATCACGAACACCATGTTCGAGCACAAGGGTGTCCATCAGTGCACGTGGCACCAGGACACCCTAGGCCGGAGGTCGATGATCGACTTTGTAGTCGTATCATCTGACCTTCGACCGCGTGTCTCGGACACTCGGGTGAAGAGAGGGGCGGAGCTGTCAACCGATCATCACCTGGTCGTGAGTTGGATCCGCTGGCAGGGCAGGAGGCCGGTCAGACCTGGCAGGCCCAAGCGTGTAGTGAGGGTTTGCTGGGAACGTCTTGGTGAGCCCCCTGTCAGACGGACTTTCAACTCACACCTCCGGGAGAGCTTCTCCCAGGTCCCGGCAGAGGAGGGGGACATCGAGTCAGAGTGGACCATGTTCTCTTCCTCTATCGCCAATGCGGCGGCTCGTAGCTGTGGTCGCAAGGTCTCTGGTGCTGGTCCCGGCGGCAATCCCCGAACCCGGTGGTGGACACCGGCAGTAAGGGATGCCGTCAGGCTGAAGAAGGAGTCCTATCGAGCAATGATGGTTCGTGGGACTCCTGAGGCAGCTGTCCAGTACCGGCAGGCCAAACGTGCCGCGGCCCGGGCTGTTGCAGAGGCAAAAACCCGGGACTGGGAGGAGTTCGGAGAGTCCATGGAGCATGACTATCGGTCTGCCTCGAAGAGGTTCTGGCAAACCGTCCGGCGCCTCAGGAGGGGGAAGCAGTTCTTTGCCAACACCGTGTATGGTGCGGGTGGAGGGCTGCTGACCTCGACTGGGGATATTGTCGGGCGGTGGAAGGAATACTTCGAGGTTCTCCTCAATCCCCCCGTCACGTCCCCCGTCCAGGAGGCAGAGGCTGAGGATGTTGGGGCGGATTACTTCCATCTCCCTGGCCGAGGTCACCAAGGTGGTTGGCAGCCTCCATGGTGGCAAGGCGCCGGGAGTGGATGAGATCCGTCCTGACTATCTAAAGTCTCTGGATGTTGTAGGACTGTCTTGGCTGACACGTCTCTGCAACATCGCGTGGCGATCGGGGGCGGTGCCAATGGAGTGGCAGACCGGGGTGGTGGTCCCTCTCTACAAGAAGGGGGACCGGAGGTAGGCCTGTCACGATAACAAATTTTGCTGGACGATTAATTGTCTCAGAAATTATTGCGATAAGCGATTATATTGGCGTTCTGAGATCATTTGCATCGATTACAATGATCATGCAGGTACACCTTTTCAAAGAGAAATAAACTTTTATTTTTAACGAATATTTAACGCTAGAACACAATAAATTTACAAACAACCAAAAACACTAAATAAAATACTCAAGTCTCTTAACAAAAAATGACCAGGAATAAAACTGCCTGGACCTTTGTAAAGAAAATATGAAACAGATGCCTCAAATGTCAATAATTTCTCAGACTTTATGGCAGATTACGAGAAAGAAATACCAACATGTTGACTTTGTGTGGCTTAAGACACACCAGGCGAATGACAAGTGACTGACATGTGGGTTCACCAATGGGGCGTACAGAAGTCCTGCTGCGGTAGCGCCCACCGGAAGTAGCGGGGCGGGCTTTGATGCTAACAGCTAAGCTAGCGGGTTTTTTGTGTAAAGTTCTACTCCAAGAATGCAAGTCTGCAGCATCTCTGTGTTCAGAGACCTTCTAGAGACTTTATATAACAGCAGTATGTGTTCACGGAGGTGCGCCATAAGTTTATTTTATTGGTACGGTACTTCTGCATCGGCGAACGCGCTAACGCTAGCTGCGCTAGTATAGTCACTAATCAAGCCTGAATGAGAACTCAGCTGCCGGCATATGTTCACAACTACTGTGTCCCCCATTGTCAATCCTGGTTAAGTCCTGGTTTAGGTCCTGTTTTGGCTGTATTTTGTATTTTTGAGTAATTTCCGTCTGCTTGCTAGACCGCTAATGTTCCCGTGACCACTTTGCGGCTCTCTGACCCGAGAGAGAGGGGGGGAGAGAGAGACGGGGGAAACAAACAAGCATGCAAATGGGATTTATCGCGGCCAGAAAAGTTATTGAGCAAATTTTATTTATCGTGCAATTAATTGATTTATTGACTATCGCGACAGGCCTAACCGGAGGGTGTGTTCCAATTATCGTGGGATCACACTCCTCAGCCTCCCCGGTAAGGTCTACTCCAAGGTACTGGAGAGGAGGCTACGTCCGATGGTCGAATCTCGGATTCAGGAGGAGCAGTGTGGTTTTCGTCCCGGTCGCGGAACACTGGACCAGCTCTATACTCTCCATCGGATACTCGAGGGTTCATGGGAGTTCGCCCAACCTGTCCACATGTGCTTTGTGGATTTGGAGAAGGCGTTCGACCGTGTTCCCCGGGGTGTCCTTTGGGGGGGGTCCTCCGGGAGTACGGGGTCCTCTGCTGAGGGCTGTTCGGTCCCTGTATGACCGGAGCCAGAGCTGTGTTCGCATTGCCGGCAGTAAGTCAGACCTGTTCCCGGTGCATGTTGGCCTCCGCCAAGGCTGCCCTTTGTCACCGGTTCTGTTCACTGTATTTATGGACAGAATCTCTAGGCGCAGCCAGGGGCCGGAGGGGGTCCGGTTCGGGAACCACAGGATTTCATCTCTACTTTTTGCGGATGATGTCGTCCTGCTGGCTCCAACGAACCAGGACCTGCAACATGCACTGGGACGGTTTGCAGCAGAGTGTGAAGCGGCTGGGATGAGAATCAGCACCTCCAAATCCGAGGCCATGGTGCTCGACCGGAAAAAGGTGCCTTGCCCTCTCCAGGTGGGTGGAGAGGTCCTTCCTCAAGTGGAGGAGTTCAAGTATCTCGGGGTCTTGTTCACGAGTGAGGGGAGGATGGAGCGTGAGATTGACAGGCGGATCGGTGCAGCGTGCGCAGTGATGCGGTCTCTGTATCGGACCGTTGTGGTAAAGAGGGAGCTGAGCCGAAAGGCAAAGCTCTCAATTTACCGGTCAATCTTCGTTCCCTCCCTCACCTAAGGTCATGAGCTGTGGGTAATGACCGAAAGAACGAGATCGCGGATCACAAGCGGTCGAAATGAGCTTCCTCCGCAGAGTGGCTGGGCGCTCCCTTAGAGATAGGGTGAGGAGCTCGGTCACACGGGAGGAGCTCGGAGTAGAGCCGCTGCTTCTCCACGTCGAGAGGAACCAGTTGAGGTGGCTCGGGCATCTGTTCAGGATGCCTCCTGGACGACTTCCTGGGGAGGTGTTCCGGGCACGTCCCACCGGGAGGAGGCCCCGGGGAAGACCCAGGACACGCTGGAGAGACTATGTCTCTCAGCTGGCCTGGGAACGCCTTGGGGTCCCCCCGGACGAGCTGGAGGAGGTGTGTGTGGATAGGGAAGTCTGGGCGTCTCTGCTTAGACTGCTGCCCCCGCGACCCGGCAACGGATAAAGCGGAAGAAAATGGATGGATGGATGGATGGATGATATTGTTTTAATAGCAGAAGAAGAAATAAAACTGCAAAAAATGTTGGATATTATGAATGTGTGGTGTTCCAAATAGAGATTAACTATTAATTGTGAAAAAACTCAAATAGTTCATTTTAGAAAACCGTCTGTATCACAAAGTGATTTTACATTTTTTTTTGGTCAAACAAGGTTGATGTATTCTGTTACCTATAAGTATCTTGGTTTTGCTTTTCATGAGAATATGAGTTTTTTTGAGGGTAGAAAGATACTAGCTGAGTCTGCGGGGAGGTCCTTAGGAGCTGTAATTAATAAGATGAAGATCTGTCCTGATTTAAGTTTTAATATTTTTACACAACTGTTTGATTCAATGGTGGGATCTATACTCCTCTATAGTGCAGGCGTTTGGGGCTTTGAGGAGGCTCCAGAGTGTAATAATATACAAGGCAGGGCCATGAGATATTTCCTAGGAGTTCATAGGTTTACACCCAGAGCAGCGATAGAGGGTGATATGGGCTGGGAACCTTGTGTTGTAAAACAGAAGGTAGAGATGATCCAACTGTGGAACCGCCTTGTCCGTCTACCAGAAGACAGAATTACACGGAAGATTTTTAACTGGGACAGAAGTCACAGACATCCCTGGTCCAAAGAGGTGCTGCAAATATTGTAAAAAGTTGAATTCGGATACTTATTTCAAAATAATTTACAATGTAAATTGGTAACTCTAAGGAAAATGCTAAATGATATCAATGAGAAAGAATGGAAAGTTAAAGTTTTGAAGAAAACCAAGCTCAGAACTTATGTCCAGTTTAAGAACTGTTTTTCCACAGAAATGTATTTAAAATCTAATCTGAGAAAAGGGCAGAGGTCTCTGTGTGCTCAGCTCAGAGCAGGAGTGCTGCCCCTTGAGGTTGAGGTGTGGCGTTACAAGGGGGTTCCACTGGACGGTCGACTGTGTGCGCTGTGTGAGCTGGGAGTAGTGGAGGATGAATTTCATTTTTTGTTTTACTGTCCTATGTACAATGACCTAAGAATGGTATTGTTCACAAAGATTCAATGTAAAAATCCTGATTTGTTTTGGCTTTCTGATGGTGATTTTTTGCAATGGCAAACTTTGTCGAAAAGGCCTGGACACTGAGACAAAGGACTTTATATCCAGAGAGACAGTAATATATTTGTCCACAGGTGTGGCTATATCTTCCTTTCTGTTGATAGTGTCATATAAGCCCATGAGGGCTGGGCACGTACTGTATGTGTATGAAACTTAAATAAAATATTCATTCATTCATTGATAATTACAATTGTTATTCTCACGGAATTGTATTAAAACACATACATCAAGTTTCACAATTTACACTATTATTATGTATTTATCAACTCTTAAAATTTGTGAATCCATCTGGGTCAGGGGGGTGGCAGTCAGAGATGCCACCCAAGTCTCATAGCACCAGCCCCTCACTGACCCTCTGCAGGTGGTGAGTCCACAGGAGGACGGCTGCTCTCTGAGTGTGAGCATAGCCTTGATCTTTCAAATTTGTGAATCATTTTTAGATATCACTAGGAAACATAACTAGACTTACCTCCAATGCAGCCAGCCAGAAAATCCATCCTCCTTTTGTGAGCAGCTCTGTCCCCAAATAAAAACTAATAGCAAAAAAGTCGTAAAAATCTTAAGATCCCGGTGTGTGTGAGTGTGTGTGTGCGAACTTAGTTAATGCCACTGTCACCTAGCTACACACACTGTAGCTAGCACCTGCTAAAGCTGCGCGACTACAGCAACACAAACAGGAAAGTGCGAGAAGCGACGGTGTCTTCTTAAAAACAAAATTATAAAAAGTTTTATAATAAAGCGCAGACAGCCGCAAAAGAAGCTGTCCCCTGAACGTCCGCTGTCACCGCCAAAGAGGGTTATTTCTGTAGGGACAGGCTGCGCGCGCACGGCTGCAGACTAGAGAGGTGTGTGGAGAGAAGGCTCTAGAGAGAGAGGAGGAGCAAACCCCGCCGCCATCTTGTGATTGGAGAAAGTTCATGTTTTTTGTTGTTTACTCTTTTATGTAACTTTTTTGTCTCCTTGCTAACTTTTGTATGCATGTTTATATATTCTTTCTATATGCAATATACAGTATGCATTGTTTATTGTTTTACCTATAATGATAATAATATTTTCCCTGTTGCTTCAGAGGAGCTGGGTGGCAGCACAGACTGCGGAAGAAAATTTTGGTGTGTGTGTGTGTATGTGCCATAATAGATCCATGGTATGTGCGCAGACTTACTTTCATAGGTCTGCCTCAGGGTTTTTACTTCAGTCATTTATTGAGTTGCAGAATACAGAAGATATGCTTTTAAAACATATTTTGCATATAGAGTTTGTTGGACTGAAAAGTGTGGTTTTAAAGATAAGCCATATGGCCATACCTGCATGTGAAAGCCAGATCCCAACAGACCTTTGAAACTAAGAAGGGCAAGGCTTGGTCAGTACTGAGATGGGAGATCTCTGGGAGCATCAGGTGACACAATCGGGCTGCTATAAAGTGCCAAACTGTCGTAGAGTCCTCAGGCAAGACACTTTGTCTAGATTGACTGTGTGGTTAGTGGTGGTTGGTACATAATGATACTGGTTGCCTCACTTCTGTCAGTGTGCCTCAGGGCAGCTGTGGCTACAGTAGTAGTTTATCACCACGGAGTAAGTGAATGAATTATGATATGTGAAGCGTCTTTGAGTGTCTAAAAAGTGCTACATAAACTTTTGACTTGTTTGCCCCAATAGCCAAAGCAATTTTCTAGTCTGCAACTTCCTGTTGCTTACATGACAATAAAAATGATTCTGATATTATTGTTATTGAAAGAACAAAAATTCATTATTAGAAGTAAAGCTAAAAGCTATATTCTGTGTTGCCCTTGAGAATTTAGGATGCAGTACCGCGGATAGCCTTCGTCCATTCTGGGAACCCAGAGACCATCCTGTAAAGACGTTTCTCAGAGGAAAGAAGGCAGCATACAAAAGCATTGGTAATTCTGTTTCTGGGTACACCCTCTCCGGCCAGGAGGGAAATTGAAAGCATGTCAGCACAGGCGCCCCTTTTAGCTTTTTGAGCCGGGACCCGCTGTTGTGCAATCAATTCAAAATAAAAGGTATAAAATATTTAATTTTTCCGTTGATTAAGTTACTGTTTTTTTCCAATATTGCATTCATAAATATCCAAAAGGTTACTTTGGTAGCACTAGGTGTGAGAACATGGAATGGTTCTTCACAGGACAACACCTGCAGATTGTGGCTCTCACTCTACTAAGTTATTATAATACATCCACCAAGGTTTATATACATCCTATAATCTAAGGATCGTCTGTTTTGTATTATATATTTATTCATTTAATTGGATACGTCAGTTTTTCCTCTATACAGCCGTAATATGGCCGCTAAAGCAGAAGTACTCTAGCGTCGTAGGTCAGAGTTTTACCGGCGTAATGGGACAATTCTGAGCCAATAAAAACCCTTGATTCACGCCGACACCCCACGCGTTGCCAGCGCTGATCATTATTGGCTGAATGGGCACGGGCTTCCCACGCTGAAGTGCGTCACGCAGTCCTCGTGATGTTTTCCTCTGGACACTGTCACTCAGGTTAAAAAATAGGATCGAATGTCACACATGCGGAGCTCAGCTAAGACAAAGAGGGACAGGGTGAAGATGGGGCCACCGAAGGGCGACTCACCGCCTCCAAGGAGAGTTTCAGGAAATGTTCAACTGAAGTTAAAGGAAAACATCAAATCATTACTTACATTGTGGTGTGTTTGTATTCATTTAACTTAACAGGTTCTTACCGAGTTTCTAAAAGGCATAAAACCGTCCCATTAACACCTTACATATACAGCTGCTGTATTTAATTATAATTTTGATCATCAATCAGATATCGGATTATCATTTTAATTAGATTATTAGTTGTTTTGATCCCGAAAGATCAGTGAATGTGGGAATTCTTTTATACATTTGTACAAGAGATGCTCCATGGAGAACAACATCAGAGGCTTGACTTGTTATGCAACAGGTCGTTTGAGTAAAAATTATTTGGAAACACATTTTCATTATCTGAGTCATAAAACCTCCTCTCTATGCAACGTTTGCAATAATTGATTAACAGCTAGTTGTTATTAATAAATTGATTAACAATCGTCTTCCATCATAGTGATAATCAGGCCCTGCCTGCAGAGCTTCTTGGATCAGACGGGATCGTTGTAATTTAATTTCAATTATTTGTTTTATGGTAATGTGTAGTATGTGCCCGTGCGTGTGTGTTTGTGTGTGTGCGTTAATCTTCATGTGTATTATCCATAGACTGTATCGTGGCGTTCTATTTACACACGTTACGTCACATGATGTAGCGTTGCGTCACCAGGCGCGCACACGCCTCTGTGGTCCTTGCTTCAGCCGTCAGTCCGACACCGACACATCTGCTCCTACTATCATGCACATAATCGACTTCGTGTCCGGCTCGATGGCAGGTAACGGAACACAATTTATACAAAACGTTTCTGTTCGCAGCTAACAACATGATGTATGCTAACGTGTGCTTATGTGAGCTAACCTGGAGCTAACAAGCTAACCATAGCATTGACCGTAGTTACATGACACAGAAGCACGGGGTTGTGTAACCAGCGCTACAGATGCTTTTTGTCACACTCATGAATTAAGCACTTAGTTAAATCGTGTTTAATCTGCTGATTTGATATTGGCAAGCATCATGGTGTTGTCATTGTCCTCTTTATAGAGACGTAAGAGTGAGCCAGCTGTCAAAGAGAAGTCCTTGCTGGGGGACCCTTACAAAATGAATCATTCCCTTGAGGAGTTTGGTTCCACAGCTTTAACTGCACAAGACAGAGGGAAATATAGTTCAGTCATTGTAGGGCTATATCTGTTGCTTACCAATTGATTTTTACAGTAACAGTTAGACTCAGGTATCATGACAGCAGTGGGAGGAGCGGTGAACCAGGGCTGCAAAATATCAAACATTAAGATTTATTGATCCTTTATTCGTCCCACAGTGGGGAAATTTCAGTGTTGCATCACAAGTTATTGAACAGTAGGAAAGAAAAGCACACAGCACAAGATAAGTGAACAATAGCTATAATAATTAAAATAAAACAAAATCTCTAAATCTAGCATCAATAAAAAGTATAACATCTCTATCTTGAAAATAATGATAATAAAAAGAAATGTTAAAACAGATGTGTTATTATATTACATATATTTTTTTCTTAGCATAGATTGAAAAACCAAGCCAAGTGGAATTTTGACGAGTTTGGAAATTTGGCATTAATAAGTTAGTCAGTGTTTTTCTATAGGCAGTGTCTCATCCAACATCTACCAAACCAATTGCTATTTGATCATCCGTGTTGGTTTTCAAAATTGCTATATAACAGGCCTTCTCAACCTTTTTGAAGTTGAGGCCCATTTTTTTATGGTCCAAAGTTGTCCAGACTGTATATGATTAGCTGACTGTCAGCTGATCTGTTCAATTACAAACCAAATCCACCCACTGTTTGACAAGCAAAAAACTTGTTAAAAAGTAAAAATTACATGATAAATAGTATCACACTCATTTAGATTAGTTTGGATTAGTTTTTATCTCCACGGGACCTGGTGGAGGTTTGGAGCCTCTTCTCTCCTCTGGGTCACGTGGGGGTATACAGTAGAATAATAGTAGCTTTATTTGTGTCACACCTTTCAGACACAAATGCAGTTCAAAGTGCTTCACAGCATCAAAATAAAAACACAACAAAACAATAGCTGACATCTCATACAAGTCATTAAAAGTCGCGCAACAGCAGAACAAATATTTAAAAGTAAATAAAAACCCAAAGAGCTGGTAGGCTGCTCCAAAAGAAGAAAAGCAACTTCTTAACTCACTAACTTGCTAATTTGCAATGTATGCCATCCATTATCCCCATTTAGAGAAATTGCACTCTTATTATATGTACCTAGAAAATATGTGATGATATATTTTTTAAATCAATGCAGTCCTCAGGAGGACCCTATGGTTTAGAATGATCGTGATATAGAATTATCCTACACTTGGTAAATATCAAGGTTTTATTTTTATTTTTTTATCCAGCCAAATGAATTTTGTGTTGATTAACAGCTAACATAATTAAGTTTTCCTAACCCAAAACATAATATTGCATGTACTAAAACAATCTTAACCATAACACTAACTTAACCACTAGCCAAGAGTGATACTGTTAGCATGTTACCATTATTATAAACTCACTTATCCATTTAAGATAGATCAAGGCTCCTGTGGACTCACCACCTGCAGGAGGATCAGTGAGGGGCTGGTGCTCTGTGTACTGGGTGCAGCTCTGACTGCCACCCCCCGACCTAGAAATGGATTAAGGGTTTGAAAATGGATGGATGGCACTAATCATTTAAGTAAACAAACTTAGTTACTTACAATCCCCGATGGTTTGTCAGAGAGAGCAGAAGCAGTATCTTTTTCATAATTTATGCATTTAATGACAAGTTAAGATAAACCTTTACTCGTCCCACATTGGGGAAATTTCAATGTCAGCAGTACAGCAGAATAAAGAGAGAAAAAAGATATATGGATATATTCCATCCATCCATTTTCTTCAACTTAATCCATTTCTGGGTCGGGGGGGTGACAGGCAGAGCTGCACCCAGTACACAGAGCACCAGCCCTTCACTGATCCTCCGGCAGGTGGTTGCGGCTACAACAATTGCAGACATCAGTGGGTGTCGTGAAGTAGGTCTTGTGTTGGGCTCGATCCCAACTGAGCCATTGTCGCCCCAGGATACACTGTGTAAGATACAATAAAATAAGACAATACAATAATAAGATAGTAAAATAAAAGTTTGATGCTATAATGGCACTTGGTTGAAGTCACTTGTGGAGTGTACAGTACACTGTAGTTTGCAGCATCACGAGATATTTGATTTGGTGGTTTTAACTGTTTACATTATGGAAGAAACAAATTATTACTTTATTTGATATTCTTGAATTATGGGTTTTTCTGAACAAAATTTGTCAGTTATTATTGACCAAGTAGGGCTAGTGGAAATAGGGCAAATATAACTGATTTGAACAAATTGCGTTGTTGGTTTGTTGCTGAGTATAATACAGCAATGGGGGAGACGCATAGGGAAAAGTTAAAGCTCTTAGCCAACAGCTTAGTATGGACCCAAAATATCAGCCGAGCAATGTATATTGGTCGATTCTGAAAACAATACACAAGAGGATCCCCAGTGTCAAAACTGCTGGTCATTATTTGACACTATAGCACAGTGTTTTTTTCCAGGAACAATCGGTTTCACAGTTGTACATTAATTCACACCGTTCTATCAATGAAATAAACAAAACTTGAATAAATGGTCCAATGATTAGTTTGCTAGTCATTTGCATCAAAATATTGTGCAGCCCTGGTGGGAGGAATGAGCGATAGTTTGAGGAGGATGAGAGGCCATACATTCTGGAATAATGGTGATTTATCCCCAGAGTTCCCAGAATCCATGCCAAGCTGCATGGAGGTGGACAAAAAATGTTAACATTAAATTTGTCCACTCTCCGCGCTTATCAAAGTGGTAAGTGAGTACATAGTTTTCTAGCTGAACATGAACCAAACACAGCCCTGTGGTGGACGTGAGCTCACTGCTTTGGTCTCTTTCTTGTCAGGAGCGTGTGGGGTGGCGGTCGGATACCCACTGGACACCATTAAGGTCTGTTTGAGCATGGAGGCTAACGTACAGTATGTCGTAGTGCAGTGCTTCTAAACTTAAACATTGTCCTCATCCACCTTTGACTGTTTGGGAAGCCTCCAGGACAATGGGCTTTGGGGCCATGTGCACATGCAAACCTGTTAAATAATGTTGTTGTTGTGTGACAGTTAAAGCTGATTTAGCTTGTCTCATTTTATCTTTGTTCTCACTGCATCTTTTCCAGGTCCGCATTCAAACCCAGAAGCAGTTCACAGGAATCTGGCAATGTGCAAAAACAACCTTTCTGAAGGAGGGGGTGAGTTTCTGAGTGGTCCAACTTGTCAGGCTAGTAAACTGAGACTTCCTAGAAATGACGTCCACATACATAGGTTGTGTTTGTGGGCTCATACAGGTGACTCACTCATTCCATTGTTAGGTTTTGTTATGCAACGCAAGCTTTGATAGTATCTTTATGCTCAATCATTTTCGCCGAATGATGGTGTGGTTTGAAAGTTGGGTACGCCAGTTTTAGATTATTATTATTGATATAAAAATTTATATTAGGGTGTCATGATTCTAATATATGCCACATTTGGAAATAGGTTAGTCCTAGGTACAGTGTTTTAAAATATGTGTTTTATGATAAGTTCAAGATGTTTTAATCATCTACAAATATGGTAAACCTTTGCTCGTTAAAAGAATCAAACTTCTTTATGCTACGTTTGTCAGGACCATAATTTTAGAATGTTGAAGTGTGTGGAAGCAAACGTTTTCTGAATGAGTGTGTGTTTTTTTGAGGTGTCGGGCTTCTACAAAGGCTTGGCTCTCCCGATCGCCACCATCGCCATGACCTCGTCTGTCACGTTTGGAGTTTACCGTAACTGTCTGCAATGCCTGAGCCAGCTGAAGGGCGGAGCTAACAGCCGTGTGGACGTTTGGCTGGCAGGGATGGCCGGAGGCATCGCACAGGTCTCGATTACTCATATTTCAGCACGACACACTCTTTCTGTGGAAGGCACTCTTCTGTCTCCTCCACAGTAAGAGTTTAAGAATAAAACATACAAAAAAACAGAGGGAAAACATTTAATGCACATGCAAGATTAAGATGAAGAGATCCTTTATTCGTCCCATAGTGGGGAAATGTCAGTGTTGCATCACCGGTTACAGAACAGAAAAAGATAAATGAACAATTAATTCCACAATAAAATAAAATAATAATAATAATGATTTTAGCATAAAAAAGAAGCACGTCCACTCCTTCTGCTGTCTATGGGGAAAGTTGGGGTAGACGTACATGTTTGTAAAGGGCTGTAGATTATCACTACAGTAGACAGAAGCATGTATGTCTCCATGAAGGGAATGTCTTTCATCTTTTTGCCCTCCCCAGACTTCAGTGATGTCCCCGGGGGATCTGGTGAAGGTGCGGCTGCAGTGTCAAACTGAGGCGAAGCGCGGTGGCCCGGTCAAGCCCAAATACAGTGGTCCAATCCATTGTTTGCTGAGCATCGTGAAGGAAGAGGGGGTGAGAGGTCTGTACCGAGGAGCCCTCCCCCTGATGCTCCGGGATGGACCCTCCTATGCCACATACTTCACCATGTACGCCTCTATCTGTGAGGCGCTGAGGGACCAGGACCAGGGCAGGCCAGGTATGCAAGCCATCTGCCCTAGAAACTTCACACGCGTGTGTGTTCATGTCTGGAATCTAATAACTACTGCACGCTCAAATACCTGTCAAGTGTCAAGATGATCACATCTCAAGGCTAAAAAATATATATTCTATAGTAAATATTTTGGTCCTCTGACCTGATGTTGAAAAAGTATTGCATGTTTTATTTGAAGTATTAGCAGTCGTGCTTACAAACGTCAGCAGGCCTACTGACTTCAACATCACAAGGCACTGGAGCACCCACAAAAGCATAATGTGGACAGGTTGAGCAAACTTCCATGATCCCTTGAGTACCCTCTGAAGGGTATATAGCTGTTCCTGTGTTCTGACGCTGGAACGAAAATCATACTGTTCCTCCTTAATCCGTAATTCAACTATCAGTTGAATTCTCCTCTTCGATACCTCAAAGTAGACCCCCCTAGCAATAAATGGACCACATCAAATCCTGGATTTGATTCCATTCATTTCTCTGCTCAGTTGCTTCCAGGTGTTCCAGTTTCCTCTCCCACTTAAAACATGTCCAATAATTTTGGCATTGTGTGTCCTGTATGATGACCCCCATTACTGTGCTTTGTGATTTTGTGAAAGATAATGTAAAACTATTTTGAATAAAGTGACCACCACCTGGGCACTGTCCCGACGGCCACACGATGTTGCAGAGACATGTCAGCCGAGACAGTTCTACAACATCGAGAGACTTAAGATAATCAGGACAGATCTCAAACACTCACAGGGTCTTGCACCCGAGGAGGAAAAATTGACCAAATCAGCCTCGGCTGCACTTGTTGTATATAATATGTAAATATTAAAATTTGAATATTAGACATATTGATCTGATTACTGACAGTGATACAGATTAATTTAAAATTGATGCATTTCTTTTTTTTTTTTTTTATGAATTTTGCGAGATTTGAGCCCCCCCCCCCCAACAGTGTCCTTTTGAGCCTTTAAAGTTTGAGGCTGAGGTTTGATAGCGTACTCATATTTCTCAGTATGGTTCAAAGCTTATGAAATGATTTGTGGGATGAATTGGATGAGTTTGACTGTGTCTAACACCTCTTCCCTCTGGGTTCCAGACTGGGGTGTGGTGATGCTGGCGGGGGGAGTGGCCGGATCCTCTGCCTGGGCCGTGGGGACACCGATGGACGTGATCAAAGCACGCATGCAGATGGACGGAGCAAGGGACATTAAACGTTACAGTGGCCTGCTGCACTGCATCCAGGATACGGTGCGCACAGAGGGTCCTCGGGTCTTCTTCCGCAGCCTGGGCATCAACTGCCTACGTGCCTTCCCCTCCAACATGGTGGTGTTCATGACCTACGAGCTGCTCACAGACTTCTTACGGGTGAGGACACAGTCTGAAGACATGCCATATGTGGTCATGGACTAGAAAAGACCACTTCAAGACTTATCTGGCCCATCTCCCAAAAAATCTTTAGTCCGGGTCAGTTGGCTGGTTACGAGCAAATCCTACTGACAAGAGATTTTCAGACTCATTTACTTAGGTAAGGTACTTACTAAATTACTTAGAAATTATACACTATCGTCATACATATATTTATAATTTGTTGAAAAACCAAATCAGAGCAGGAAAATGTGGGTGTGGATAGATATGGGGCTGGGTATTATGGCCTGAGAATATCTCACTACAGAGTCTACGACACGATAAATATCCTGATTAGGTATGGACAATATCAATAAGATAAATATTGGCAATATTTAGCAGATTCAAACTGATGCAAAGATGGCTTTTTCTTTTTTTACAATGAATTTATATTGCTAGTGGTTTGTGTTTGAGAACAAGACAGCTGGGATTGCAATGTCTTCCTTCAACCACAAGATGGCATCAGTGGACCGTGCTTACTGTGGTAAAGATATTATATAGATTTTTTTTTTTTTAAATGCAGCTGGAGACAATATCACAAAATTACTTGAAAATGTTACATTTTGAAAAGTTACAGTAGAGCCAGTAGATTACATTACATTTTATCAACAACATAAAAATGCGTGCAGCTGGTTACAGTGTTTAAACATAATGAAACCAATGGACCTTTTTCATCATTAGAAAATTTAGTATTCATTCATTTGTTTTAGTTTGTGTTGATAAGAAACTGAATGTAACACAGTGCCCCTACAGGCCACAGTAAGTAATGCAATATCATAATTTCTACTGCAAAAAAAACCCACTTTCTAAAGAGATCTGTGGTTTGGGCTCTTTGTGAGCATTTGTAAGCGGTAAATGCGTCTCTTCCCTGTGGAGGGAGAAGCTCGATGGAATATCACATCTCTCTCTGTTAAAGGTGCACTGCTGCTCATGCACTTTCATTCCCACACTCTGGTTTTAACTCTCTATTTATGTCACTATTACGGCTGGGACAACATATCAGTTTGCAATATGAATGTGATGACTGTGATGACTAATCACAACTTAAGTTTAAGCTGAGGTACTGAACTTTCAAATAAAAAATTGAGCTATGCAAAGATGTCACATTTTTAGATCTGTCAGTCGCTGCCCAACTCTAGCCCCACCTTCTTGTCCCCTGGTCCTCATTCATGTGGGCATAGTAAAGCTGAGCACTGGTGTTTAGTTTTCCTTTAACAATGAACCCAAAAATATAATTAGTAATAAATAATAGAAAATAAATAAATGTGTCAATCAGTCTTGGCTGGCCGATATGGCAGTCCCATTTAGACTATTATGAATTAACTCTATTGTATTCAAAGTCATCAAATAGTTTAAAAAAAAAAAAATCTATATTTAAATTTCAAAAATATTTGTATTTTCCATCCCAAATGGTCCTAAAAGTTTTGTAGAGACGCTGACATCCCAAAAACCTTTTTTGACGATTTTGATAATTCTCAAAGTTCACAGTCAGGTTCAGCTCTGTTTTAAAGTATATCTGAGCTCATAAAAATTAAAAAAAAGAATATCTAAACCCATATTCAATTAAATTTGTTCAAAAGATTTCCACAAATTAGAAAACGAATGATACAAAAACAACCACAGATGGAAAAAGTATATATTTAAACAAACAGCAATGATAGACAACAAAACATCAGCCTTAAAGGACAACTCACCCTCAAATCCACTTTTTTTTGCTGATAAACTGTATAAATGAGTGTCCAATAGTGTTGTCTACATATCCTGGTCATAATTTTGTCACTTTGGTGCAAATTAGTTGAAAGTTAAACTTTCTGCCTAAAACCGTCTGTGAGGCGCCATCTGCTGGCGACCTGTATTACTACATTTGAATTTTGAATCTGGCGCCAACACTGGCGCGGCAGCAAGACCTGACGTCTGAAGCAAGACCTGACGTGAGCAGCCCCCCGCCCAGAGCAATGTAAACGGCCCAGTCTCGTTCACGCCCCCTTTAGTCCTCCAGGCTACGCCCATTTAGAGGAAGATTTGAACAGGAAATGTGAGTGACGTAAGCTCCGAGGAGCGCGGGTGAGAACCTCTTTAAGGACAAACAATAAATCATTTGCTGAATCAAATCCACCTAGCATACCTTTAAAAAAAATTTAAAAAAAATAAAAAAATAAACAGTTGTCAATTCACCAGTCAGACTTTGAAAAAATGGCACAGAAAATACATATCGAATACATTTGCACTTGTCAAATGTGAAATTGAAATTGTCTCAAAGCCATATTGTGCGTTCCACATGATTCAGGATCAAGTATACAGTACAGCTCTTAATGTTGTCCATCCATGTTTCCGTCCATACACCTCCCATGACATCATCTGTCAACTGTCACTATTGTTTTCTTATTGAGTGGGCTCGCCTCTCCATAGACCCCACCTGTAATGCGACTCCATGGTGAAACACAAAAACCCACAGTGCACCTTTAACTTGCCTGGTCTTGCTGCTGTTGCGTGTTATTTATGTCAAAAGTTTATACCAACAAATGTATTTATGTCTAAACTATGAAAAACCGGGACTAATGGTTTTAAGACCATCTACTGTATGTAAATAACAGATGTACTTATAAGATACATGTATTTTCTCTAATAATGACTTTCAAAAGGTTATTTAACTCTGTACTTTGCTTCAAATGTGGTTATTACAAGAATATGTTTAAAGTTCGGGGGTTGGACATGGATTGTAGAAAGCAGTGGACATTAAGCTCTTTGCAAACATGCACTTGTACCTGGAGCTTTGCCGCTGAAATACATTGGTTCACACTCTTTTCTGACCCTGAGATGATCTTTCCAACTACAGTGATCCCTCGTTCAGCACGCTAACCCGCGATAGGTGAAATCTGAAAAGTAGAAGCTGCATGTTGTAACTACAAAACCCTCTAGGCACACTTTATACAGTCTTCTCACCACCTGAACTCACGACTGCTGAAGTGCCATCACAGAGATATCAAAGCTAAAATACAGCTGCAGAGGACACCGCACTGAGGGGCAGGAGCAGATCTGAGGGGCAGGAGCAGATCTGAGGGGCAGGAGCAGATCTGAGGGGCAGGAGCAGATCTGAGGGCTACGGGAAGACCGCGGTAGTCCTCTACACCAGAGGTCAAGAACACATAAACGTGTATTTCTATGGGAGCCATACATGTAATATTGTGTTTGATTTTTTTTAAACAAGATCTAGTACACATTTGGAAGGTAATATTAGTCTCAAACGAAATTATTTTGTTTAATACATTTTTTATAATGAAGATATCCAATACATAAAACATCTTACTATGAATACCTACTAAGATTTGTCTGAGAGCTAGACATAACATTATCAAAAGAGCAACATCTGGCTGCTGAGCCACAGGTTCCTGACCCCTGCTCTCCACTAATCACGACTTTATACTAGCGATTATATAACGTTACATTAGATGTCGTTGGAGTATAATGCGGTACATGAGAAGCACACTGTTAAAAAAGTGTGCACAATTACACACAAAAAGCAGCGAGGCCATGAAAAGTGAACCACGAGGGACCACTGTTGTTCTCACAGAGCGACATCTTGCGGCAATGGAGCGCACAGCCGTAACTGCTCCTTCCTCATGCTTTTGCTTCACTTTTCTTTTTTTTACATAAGGAGCACATTGGGTCTTAAAATATATAATGTTTGCACTTTACTCTTTTGTGCATGAAACGAGGTGCTTTTATTTCTCTACCTAAAGAGGACATAATTATCTAAAATATATACATATTTGTAAATATTTCCAAACCAAGTGCAATTATAGCCCAGAGTTTATGTAATTTTATTTTATTTTTATCTTAATTTTATTGTCTATTATCTCAAATAATAGACTCAATTTGATGTGTGCAATCTGAGTGCTCTTATTTCCTCAGTGAGACTAATAAAGGTTTATCTTATCTTATCTTTAAATGTAGACATATCACAATTGTAATTTGTCTCACGCCAATCAGAATTGAGAAGCAAGATGTCTGGACGTGGCTTGTATGTTATTAATTTTCATATCTTGATTTCCAAAAACAATATCTCCATAAATGAACGCCAGTATCACGTGGAGCTCTGAAACCCAGAAATGTGAGTGTAACTGCATCAGGGACCTAAAAAAAAAGTTTTATTTCTAATGCAATCAGGATTTCTGCTCCAGGAGGCTCCAAAAGGCATCCATGCGCTCTTCCTACTTCCTGCTTACAGCTTTGTCCACTCTTTCTACAGTCTGTGGGTTGTAAATGAAGGTCCTAAACAGCAAACATGTGAAAACAGGTCAAAAAGTTATATATTTTCAGTGGATTGGTTCAATGCATCATCAATATCTTTGTTTTCATTCTCTCAGTTCCTGTTTTTTTATTTTTATGTTTTATGTGTCATATCCTGTGTAGTTCCAATGCCAAGGTTTAGAGTTTATATTAACTTATTGCTTTTTTTTGGTGTAGTTTGTGAAAAATATGAAGTGAATGATTAATGACATGTAAAGCGTCTTTGGGTATCCAAAAAAGCGCTATATATGAAACCAATGCATTATTATTATTATATTATAATCAGATTCTCAATTATATTGGTGAAATTTTCACTGTTTAAATTTTAAATGATTTGTATTTAATCCTTTTTTCTAATTCAAGGAACACATTTTTTAAAAACAGATATGCATTATGTGTGTTTATTTTGGCTACTTTGCTTTGATAATTACACATCAAAACATGGTTCAAACAGGGCCTTTAGACAGAAGGGGTGTGGGGATGTGTTTTTTTTAGATCTATCCACGCTAAGAGTAGGACCTTGCGTCAAAAACACAGCCCTTCTGTCTATGGTTTTCAAACTTTCGGCCTTTTTTTATTTAATTTCAATGAGAAAAGTTCAGAACCTAAAGTAATTCTGCAGATTTTTCTCGTAAAATTACCTCTTTGACAAATGCCTCAAGTCTTCAATTAGACGCCATATTAGATTTGGATCTAAATTGAATATAATTGCTTCA